CATTTCACAATATATCTACGTTGTTTTATGTGATGAAAAATGCAGATTATTTATTGATAATATCTGTATTTACAGACCTATCTAATGTCCGTGGCCTGGCTATTGATTGGCTATCCAGAAATATGTACTGGATGAGCTCAGACAACGACGAGACCCACATTAACGTCGCCCGTCTTGACGGATCTCTCAAAAACACTGTCGTTCACGGGATGGACAAACCCAAGTGTCTCGTCCTGCATCCATCTAAAGGGTAACATAGCAAAAACCACACTAACAGTTAGCCGTATCCATAATGGAGAAGTTACGAGCTGCGTGTCGCTAAAGATCGCTATCCTATTTATTAGTAAGTAATTGCACACTTCCGTTGAATTGTCCCCTTTTGTTACCGTCAAATCTGCGTGTGAGATACATCAGTTACAAAGCTAATTACTGAACAGGTCTCTGTTTATATTCCCCATGCCCAATTAGCTAAAGTTATTAGAGTCATTTTCTTGGAGTTGATTAAGACTGACAAATTGTTGTAGCCATGAAAACTATTTAACGATGCCAAACTGGTTGTCAGCCAATCAGAAATGCGAATTTATCTTACCCTTGTTGGGCCGGTCAATGACAGCTCTTTAATTAGCATACATTATGATTCCAGGCATGCAAGCTAATTAAAAACGGAGCCAGTTCCTCACAATTGTTTACACGAGATTTAATATAACGCGATTCTGTAATCCAGTGATGGATCTTAAGCACGGTACGGTGCGCATGTTGTTTTATTTCGCTCCCCAATATCTTGTGATCTTTGCTCCTCGTGTTGCATTTTTTTTCCGCCAGCTGTCTTCTCGTTTTAGCTTCCGACCCCGTCGACATTTCTGAAAGTCATCTGTCACGTAGGTTCATGCGCGCCATCAAGATGTATGAGGGAGATAGAGACAGCTTTATTTGATTGTTTTGTGCTCTGAGGTGATTGTGAAGATAAAGTTCTTTTCTACCTTCCCGACCTTCACGCAGGTCACGTTCCTTAAACAGAAGAGTCCCATCCTTCATCTTCAAGACTAATCCATCTCTCTGAATGATTCTTGTTTTGTCGTGGTCTACAGGAAGATGTTCTGGATGGATGGGGGCACTATAAATATGGCCAATATGGATGGCAGCAACATCAAGATTTTGCACCAGAACCAGAAGGAGCCCGTTGGTAAATTGAAGTTCCAAAACCTACAGTAGTGAGCTGTGTACTTAGTATTTTATACTTAGTACAAAATCTAAGGCATGTGTCATCTGTGGAGGAAGCAATCCCAGAATGCATTATGATACAGTGAAGACATTCTTCCAAAATGGTGTTAATTTGGTATTATCGAGATGCTATTATAGTTTTTATTAAAATTTTGAATTAGATTTTCTTTCTTTTTTTTAATTTTAGGTAAATTAATTTTAGTTTAGTTTTTCTTTTCTACATGAATTTTAAATGTTTATTTATTTTATTTTATTTCAAGTAACTTTTATTTGCTTTGCCTTTGTCTGTTTTGCCTCGTTTTGCTTTGCATTTGCTTAGCTTTCATCTGTTTTGCTTAGCTTTTCTTTGATTTTGCTTTTCTGTTTTGCATTGCTTTTGTTTTGTTTTGCTTTTCTTTGCTTCATTTTGCTTTGCTTTAGTCTGTCTTGCACTGCTTTTGTTTTTGTGTTGCTTTTATTTGTTTTGTGTTGCTTTCTTCTGTTTTGCTTTTCTTTGCTTTGCTTTGTTTTGCTTTTGCTTTGGTTTAGTTTGTTTTGTTGCTTTTATTTTTTGTTCTTACTTTTCTTTGCTTTGTTTTGCATTGCTTTCATCTGTTTTGCTTTGCTTTACTTTTCTTTGCCTTGCTTTAGTCTGTTTTGCATTGCCGTTGTTTTTGTTTTGCTTTTGTTTGCTTTGTTTTGTATTGCTTTCATCTGTTTTGCTTTTGCTTTCCTTTGCTTTAGTCCGTTTTGTTGCTTTTTTTGCATTCTTCATTTTTTTTATTAAATAATTTTTGCTCTTCTTTTTTTGCTTTGTTTTTCATTCGCAAACAACATAGAGTAAGGTGTTAGCAACACTGTTTTCTTTGCCTTACTTTGCGTAAAAAATTCACTTTTGTGCTTTTACTTTTGCTTTGTTTTCACTTGTAAATATATAGGGTACAGGGAACGATTCAAACAGTGTAAATATGCTTTCCATTGAGGAAAGAAAGAAGTCTGGTTTTGCGCTGTGTCACGCTAACCACCACACCACACACACACTCTGCTCCGGTCCAGAGACATGATAGCACAGAGCGGATCACATGTGCGAGTCGGCACAGACCACAAAATGCTATATTTTATAGCAATATGGATGAGATTGTGGCTGGCATACCCTGTCAAATGCGGCTTTACGGAGCTCAATGGCTCTGAATGGCTCTAGCCCAAGCTGTGATTTAAACGAACGCTATTGGCTATTTTAAAAAGGGGCTGGGCTGCTTGATATGTCCCGCCCTGTCTTCCTGCTTCAGTTAAAATGACGTCAGCACATAGAGTAACGCTGTGTGCTTCTAAGCATTTCAGGGGACCTTTAACAAATCTGCTGTTTTGTTTCAAACAATCTAACATTTGCAAGATAACATGGCCTCATGTAGATGTATTTACTGTAATTGCATAAGGGCACCATTTACTCATTCCTCCTCTTCCTCTGTTGAAATCGTTATATCTATAGTAATTTGGTCTGAGTAGTAGCCCTAGGTATTGTTAGAGCTCTCTGAGATGTTCGTGGTTCTCCACTTAACTCATAATTATTCAAGCAAAATCTCCCTGACACATAGTACATGTGATTATGGCCTGAGCCAGATCTTAAGTAACAGCGGTTATCATTATGATGTGAATGAGGGATTATTGCAGATGAAGGAAATAAAACGAGAAAACAACCTTTTGAACTTTTTTTGAACACTATTTATGCTGTGCCCCACATAAACATGCTTTGCTGTAGGGGAAAATGCAGATTTCAAATAACCAGCCATGTTTTGTTTGCGACAACGTGTGCTGATATTCATGAGATGAAACAATGTTCAATTCTTTATTATTTAAATCAGCCATGTTTAACAGAAACATCTCTTGCGACAAGATAAGGTCAAATAATGAAGTTCTGGATCATTTTATTTACTCTCGAGCATCTAGTTAAAGGAATATTTCACCAAAAAAATTAAAATTGCTATAATTTTCTATCTTATATAGGTATCTTATGCTCACCATGGCTGTATTTATTTGTTAAACAATTCTTATTATCAGTGTTGAAAACAGTTGCTGCTTAATATTTTTGTGGAAATTGAGATAATGTTTTTTTTTTCTGGATTATTTGAATAGAAAGTTCAATAGAACAACAATTATGCTTATATTAACAGCATATGTGCACATATATGTATTGGCAAGTATATACATATTTTTTTTATGAGCCATTGCTTTATGTTTTCATATTTTCCTTGTACTTTTTAGGGCTGTCTATCGACTACTCGGCCAACAAGCTGTACTGGATGAGTTCCGGAAACGGAACCATTAATAGGTGTAACCTGGATGGGAGTGGCCTGGACGTGATTGACAGCTTGAAAAAAGACCTGCGGAAAGCTGCGGCATTAGCAGTGATGGGTGAGTGAAGGCTGTTTTCATCAGCATTGATTTAGTAAGGTTAATTATAACCAAGCAAATAATGGAGCTATTTAATTAGTACGGTGATAGACAGTATAAATGGTTTGTGAACAGCGGCGTATGAATGATAAAGGAATAGTTTTTATGCTGAATGTGGGCCCCAGGGTTTTTGTTAAGGCTTAATTGTGGAGCTGTTTTAGTACACTGCAATTACAAATCAATTGAGGGAGATTGTTGTTTTCAAAGGGATTGAATCGCAACTATTCATGTTCTGACATGGGTTTTTTCTTGAACTTTGATGACTCACGACTTTTGATGTCGCAGCTGTGTTTGCTGATTGTAGCAGCTCTGCGGGTTTTGAGACTCGGCCAAAGACAGATATGAATTTGTGCTGTCATCTTGCATGTGGCTTCTGACTCAAGGTTGATTTTCGGTGCAAATCCTAAAGATTTTTTTTTGTGACATTTACATTTATTAATTTAGCAGGTGCTTTTATGCAAAGCAAATGAGGAAAACCGAGCGATTTGTCAAAACGGAGGAAACCATATAAATGAAGCTGGTAATAAAGCTGGCATACAATTTTAAATTGTTCTTGTGATGTTCCTCATGTTCTTTGGATAAAAGTGTCTGCTAAATGTGCAAATATAAATGTATAATGGTATTCACAACTCATTTAACTTCTGTAATGTGGCTTATTCCTAGTGCCAAATAAATTCAGCCTGAAATAGAATGGGATGTGATTTTAGCTGTCTTAATTTGATTGGACCAATAAAAATTGAAAATAGGTTGGAAAATCCCATTTTGGTTTATTATAGGGAATATTTCTAGATTGGTAAATCTGTGGTCAAATGTATTAAAATATATATTTATATACTAGTTTTAAGTTTCTCTTACCACTCCGCTAGCTGCACAGCTAGCTGTTTTTCTTCGCTGTTTTTGTTTTTCTCAGGGGTTTTTTTTCTGATTGTTGGAAGGTTTTTTTTTTGTATTGTTTGCTTTGCTTTATACAGTAGTTGTGTTCTTTTTTTAATGTTTTTTTGTTTGAATTGCTCTTTTTTGTTCTTTTTTTGTTTTGTGCTTTTTTTTTTGGTAAGATTTTTTTGTTTTGTTTTGTTTGCTCTGTTTTTGTTCTGTTTTTTTTTGTTTGCTCTGTTTTTTCTGCTTTTTTTGTTTGTTTTGTTTAGTTTTGTTTCATTTTGCTGTTTTTTGTTTTGTTTGCTCAGTTTTTTTTATTGTTTTTTGTTTTGTTTTGTTTTCTTTGCTTTATAGTTTTGTTCTGGGTTTGTTGGTTCTTTTTTATTGATTTGTTTGCTATTTTTGTTCTTCTCTGTTTTGTTTGCTCTGTTTTTAGTTTTTTTTCTGGTTCTTTTAGTTTTGCTGTTTTTTTTGTTTTGTTTGCTCTTTTTTGTTCAGTTTTTTTATGTTGCTGTTTTTTATTTTACTCTGTTTTGTTCAGTTTTTTGTTTTGCACTGTTTTGTTTTGCTCTGTTTTTGTGTTTTGTTTTTGTTATCTTCGCTATGCTTTTACTTGTTTCTGCTCACATAATGACATAATTTTAACTTCTATTCATGCTTTTTTACACTTTACAGTAAGTTTACATTAGTTAGTTTTATTAATTATGTTAAATTATATCAAATTGTTATTAATATTATTAATTATTAGTTATTGTATTAACTAACATTAACAACGAACAATATTACATTTATTGCAATATTTTTTTTAAATCTTTTTTTTTGTCTGTTTTTTTTTTGTTTTTTTTTTTGTTTGCTCTGTTTTTTCTGCTTTTTTTGTTTGTTTTGTTTAGTTTTGTTTCATTTTGCTGTTTTTTGTTTTGTTTGCTCAGTTTTTTTTATTGTTTTTTGTTTTGTTTTGTTTTCTTTGCTTTATAGTTTTGTTCTGGGTTTGTTGGTTCTTTTTTATTGATTTGTTTGCTATTTTTGTTCTTCTCTGTTTTGTTTGCTCTGTTTTTAGTTTTTTTTCTGGTTCTTTTAGTTTTGCTGTTTTTTTTGTTTTGTTTGCTCTTTTTTGTTCAGTTTTTTTATGTTGCTGTTTTTTATTTTACTCTGTTTTGTTCAGTTTTTTGTTTTGCACTGTTTTGTTTTGCTCTGTTTTTGTGTTTTGTTTTTGTTATCTTCGCTATGCTTTTACTTGTTTCTGCTCACATAATGACATAATTTTAACTTCTATTCATGCTTTTTTACACTTTACAGTAAGTTTACATTAGTTAGTTTTATTAATTATGTTAAATTATATCAAATTGTTATTAATATTATTAATTATTAGTTATTGTATTAACTAACATTAACAACGAACAATATTACATTTATTGCAATATTTTTTTTAAATCTTTGTTAACGTTAGTTAATAAAATACAGCTGTACATTGTTAATTCATGTTAGTTCAGGTCCAGTAAATAATATTAACAGACATAACTTTTGATTTTAATAATGTACAGGTGCATCTCAATAAATTAGAATGTCGTGGAAAAGTTCATTTATTTCAGTAATTCAACTCAAATTGTGAAACTCGTGTATTAAATAAATTCAATGCACACAGACTGAAGTAGTTTAAGTCTTTTAATTGTGATGATTTTGGCTCACATTTAACAAAAACCCACCAATTCACTATCTCAACAAATTAGAAAATGGTGACATGCCAATCAGCTAATCAACTCAAAACACCTGCAAAGGTTTCCTGAGCCTTCAAAATGGTCTCTCAGTTT